CAGGGCCATGGGTCAGTGAGGGGCATCATGTCTCATAGTGGGGCTGGCCATGTGATCCTCTCTGTGGACTGGCTGCTTTAATTATTTTCATATCTTAACACCAACTGCTGTCTCTTTTCCCCCACAGTTTCTGTTGTTCGTCCCCTTGTGTGTGTGTGTGTGTGTGTGTGTTAATGTGTCGATCATTGTTAACGGTTCAGCATAATGCTTTTTTGATAGTCAATCATGCTGTTGGTAACGTTGGTCACCTTGTATAGCTATTCCAGAATGTGTTCTCCATGTACCAGTTGATGGGCATTTGTATTCTTTGTAGGTTTTGGCTGTTGTGAATTAAGCTGTTAAAAACCTGTCCAAACAAATTTTATGTAGGCACAACTTTTCATTTCTTTTGGTCATGTGGTGAATATGTGTTTAACTTCCTAAATCTACAAAATTGTTTTCCAAAGTATGTGTTTTGCCTGTTTGGATTGGGCTGGTGGGCTTTGTGTCACAGAGCTGATCTATTTTTGGTTATAACAAAGCATTGAATATAGGAATTACAGAGTGCTAGTCTTTGATCGGGTAGCTTCAGAGTCAATTCTTAGTACTTTGCCCGCAGTACGTGAGTCTGAGACGCCTGTCCTCATTTTCTAAGGACGTGGCTCTTGCTGCCGCAGATGTACTGCTTCAGAAGGACTCTTTGGAGAGGCTGCATGCCCAGCAATGTTTAGGGCAATGTTGTCACAAATGGGCAATACCACTTCCAAGGCGGTGCTGGAAAGAGCCAGGGAGCTGCTACTTATATTTACCTACTTATTTACAAAAGCAGCTACTTACATTTTATCCTGGATTATGGGCTGTAGTACAAACATTTTCATTGCCAAAGGGGCGCTGAGCTTTTGTCAATCTGACCAAGAGCCTAACAGCAGGCCAAAGAAGTTTGGGGACCTATGGTTTAGATCGTATTCTTTCCAGACAGAGCTTTAGAAATGTTGCCATGTTAAGTCTAGTGAAATCTCTTAAGGGATTTATACTGAATTTTATATACATTCATGTATTTAAAAGGTACAGCCCATTTGGAAAATCAATATACCTCTTGAACTTCTATGGAGCCCTGGTGGTAGTGGGGGTTATACATTGCACTCCTAACCACAAGGTCAGCTGTTGGAAAGCTGTCAGCCACTCTGTGGGAGAAAGATGAGTCTTGCTGCCGCTTTAAAGAGTAGCACCCTCAGAAACCCACCCGGAAGGGCGTGTCTACGCTGCCTTGTAGCGTTGTTAGGAGTCTAAATCCACTCACTGCAGTGGGTTTGAGCATCGAGCTTCTGACAGCAAGTGCCTCCACTGTTGTAGGGATTCAGGAAGGTCAGCCTGTAATGTTAATATTGATGTATGTGAAACCAGAAGGAGAAGTGCGTTCGTATTTATGAAATAACTGCCTTTTCTCTAAAGCTCCCCCCATGGTAATTATGTTTTAGACCAAGAACAGTGTCACGGTTTCCTGTTGGCAAGCTCGGAAAACGTGGATTGCTTTCAGATGGGGGCATTTCGTTTGATGTGAAGCCTTTATATCTGCATTCTATAGTGGCAGGGAGGAGACCTCTGAGTAAAAATTTTATTGTGTATTTCCTCCCCATTTTGCTTTGTTTAGAGAGGCTGTTTGCTATTTAAGCTTAATCATCTTAATCTTTCACAATGAGGATATATATATGTATATTTTTATTCTTCCACTCTCACTTATTGGTAAATCTAAAAATTTTCAGAGTTTGAGAATGTTTCTTGTACACTTATTCTGAAATCCTTTAATTTTTTCAGTGGAAGGACCGAGAAGTGGTGCCCTCCAGCTCTCCGTTGATGCTGGGGTCCCTGTGAATTCAGACCTGATCGCCCACTTTGTGGATGAAGCTCTCGCAGAGACCATTGCCGTCCTACTGGGTGACAGAGATACTAAGCCGCAAGACGGCAGTGTCGCAAGGGTTCCTGGGGACGTCTCAGCAAGCGAAACATACTTGCCGGTAGGAGTCTCCCTCATCTCATGGTTCAGCCTATTCCGGGGTTCTTCAGTTACAGTCATTAACAAGCAATAAAGTGGATAAATTCCAAACAAAAAATACAGTTTATGATAAAGTTGGCTTTCTTGTCGCTATTATGAAAGCAACATTTTCTCCTAGCATCTTGAAAACCTTCTAATGTCCATAGAAGAGTTGAACGTGCTGTACAGTGGACACATCTGGGTACCCTTGACTTGAATTTGCCAGCTGCGAACACATTGCTACCTTTTCCTTCTCTCTCTCTAGCTTGACTCTCAGCTGCTTGTTGGTGCACCGATTAACCCACTAAGTCAACAGCTAACTGAAAGGCTGGCATAAAGACGACAGCCTGGGACCCATGAGGCAGTGCCACGGTTCTACTCTGTCCTGCAGGGTGGATCTAAGGGGAAATGGGCCCCCCAGCATTAGAGTTTATTTTGGTTTTTATATGTCTACCATGTAGTTTATAGCCTTACGTTTTTTCTTTTCTTAATTGCTGAGTGATTTGAAAGTTTCAGACACTACACTTCATCTCAGAATGCATGAGCCGTATCTCCTAAGCACAAGGATTTCTTCTGACATAGCCAAAATATAACTCACACGCAAGAAATTTTACACGGGTGTGTTTACATTATATATTAGAGTCCATATTCAAATTTCCTCTAATGTTCCACAAATGTCCTAAAACATTTTTTTTTAATTCAGGAGATAGTCAAGGATTACAAGTTCCATTTAGTTATGTAAGCTGCTATATTTAATCGTTAAAAGAAAAAAAAATTCAGTATCTTTATTTCTTTAATATCGTTTAATCAGCTCTACTTTGTAAAATGGTTTCTAATATATTACAGCAATATGAAGTATTATGAAAGAAAATTTACTCTACATTGTGTCATCATTTTAAAACTCTCGTTTACTTAGACTATATAGATTATAAGACATCACTCGATACAGGTGAAACATTTGAACTAACTCGTTTGACATCCAAGCATTATACAAGGGACTTAAAAAGTTTGTTAACTACCTGGTAACATACACTGTAAATACGGTTAGGGAATATAGTTTTCTCTGTGATAATTAAACTGTTTGTTTACTGGCTTATACCACATACACTTAAAAAAAATCATTTTATTAGGGGCTCGTACAACACTTATCACAATCCATACATACATCCATTGTGTCAAGCACATTTGCACATTTGCTTTCCACTTGAGCCCCTAGTATTAGCTTCTCATTTTTCCCCCTCCCTCCCCGTTCTCCTCTCCCTCATGAACCCTTGATAATTTACAAGTCATTATTATTTTGTCTTATCTTACACTGTCCAACGTCTCCCTTCACCCACTTTTCTGTTGACTGGCCTCCAGAGAGGAGGTCACATATAGTTCCTTGTAATCGGTTCCCCCTTTCTACCCCACCCTCCTGGGATCACCACTCCATACACTTTTTTATAAGGGTGATTGCATGAGAAACATCTAGACAAACCAGTGTACAGGGCAATCTATGTGTCTGTGAAGAGATTGGGCTTTGGAGTTTAGAACTGTGATTTTATTGCTTCAGCCTCATCTGTGTAATCGAGATAGCATATGACTACTTAACCCTTTCATGACAGATTTTCTACACTTTGAATTTTTGTTTAAACCACATCTTTCAGTAGTGGAAGGCATTTTGAATGAAATGAAAAAAAAACACGTATACAATTAGTGGGATACATACGTTCTCTGGTGGGCTAGGACCTGTTTCTTCCCAGTTATGTAGCGAGGCCGCCACCAGCAGGCAGCATGCACTAGAAATGGGATCGCAATGGCTACTAAAGCTCAGGTGGAAAATGTTTCCCAGGTGTCTTCAAAGGATAAACAGAGTTTCAATGGCCAAATGTTAAATGCCACCAAATTACCCTTGGTTCCTCGTGCTTATTTCTTATTTTCAGAATGTCCATGGCTTTCCTTGGACTTTTGATCTTTGAATATATTTTTGAATTAGTTTTCAAGCTGTAATAAAAAACCAAAACTAAAATATAAAACTAAAAAGACAGTCTTGAGATTTCATTTAAAGTTAATCTAATTTTAGTTGGCTTAATTTGAGAAAGATTGAGATTTCTATGGCAAAGTGTTGTCTTAGCTGCCATTTGAAGTGATGACGTATGAAAAGAACATGATCCAGTGTCTAGAATGTACTTAGTCCTCATCATTGTTCCTCATTGCTGTACCAATAGAATACCTTCAAGTTCTCACATGATGGTGCATTCTACATGGAAAAAGCACTCTGTGCTATTGGTGTTTGTAGTCAAATAGACAATGACCAAGTATTGTATTTTAAAATCAAGGAAAGGAGAATACTTGGAAAAGTTATGCTCTGGAATTTCTAATGCACTGTAGCCTTTTAAATGACATGTTAATTTGCAACTCAGAATGCAGAATAAACAGTAAAGGAGCCCAGGTGGCACTTTCAGGTGTGTTGGAGTGCCAACCACAAGGTTGGCAGTTCAAACAAACCACAAGGTCGGCAGTTCAAACACATCAGCCGCTCCATGGAGGAAAGATGAGGCTGTCAGCCTCCATTAAAATGTATAAAACCTTGAAAACCTTTTATAACGTCACTAAGAATTGAAATCAACCTGATGGCAGTGGGTTAGGATTCTGCGTATGAGGGAGCATCAAATTAAAAGATAATGGAACTTTTCTACCAACGTTTTGAAGCTCCCTCATGTAAAGAACTTCTGAAATGAGAAGAAAAGGATGAATAATGTAGTTGAAAAGTAAGCAGCAGACCGTGATCAGACCATTCACAGAAGCACACGTAGTGATAAGAGTAGTGATAAGATTCACTGGCGGTCTATTTTTACCACTTAGCTTAGCAAACCTCTACAAGCTTGCCAGCACCCTCAGTTTGACAATATTTGGGACACGTGGGCTTTCACGTACCTTCTGCTGGGAGTGTGACAATAGAACCACTACCCTGTCGATAGAAACTGGGTTCTGTCAATTGAATTACAAATGCAGTTAAGGGCTTTGACCCTACAGAACAACTGGTAGGAATTTACTGTGTAGTTAAATATGTATACATATAAAATGACTTAAGTATGTATTACAGTGAACCCTCGTTTATCACGGTTAATCGGTTCTAGACCCTACCGTGATAAATGAAATTCCGCAAAGTAGGATTCCTTATTTGTAAATCAAATATTTTCGTAGTTAGAGCATAGAGGACATGAAAAAACACCCTTTAGTCACCATTACACTCATATTACCCAATTTATTAAACGAAAAAGGGGAAAAACAGTAAAACATTTTGGACGTCACAATTATAATTTATTATATTATTTATGGCATCAAGCGTGTACAGTATGAGCCAATCAGTGGCAGTAATGACAGAGCATGCGCTGTTACGCAAAAACCGCGATAGAGTGAAGTCGTGGAAGTCGAAGCGCGAAGTGGCGAGGGTTCACTGTACTTGTTAACTTTGGAAAGGACACAAGGAAGATAGGGTATGGGTAGGTATGCTTACTTTCCATTTTCTTTTGGGGGGGGCTTTGTTTTAATTCTCGTTTTTATTTTAAAATTTCAGATGTACTATCAAATTTTTTTCTGGTGGTAAGAAAATATATGGACAACAAATCATTTGCCAATTCAGCAATGCAATCAATTCATTTTTCAATTTATTTTTTGTTGTTGCTGTCCCTAGTCTTCTCTTAGACCCTCTAAATGTTGACTCATTTGAGTGATGACCTCTTCAAATTAATTTTAACAGAAGTGCTTTCCTAGCCCCAGTTCTTGTCGTCTTCACCTTTTTCTGATCTTCCATGTATTTTTTACATGTCTAGTTCTTCTATACGGATTTCTGAGATCTCAGCCATCAAATGAAAATGCCTCCTTTCTACCCAACCAGCTTGTAATTTGGTTTTGATCCTTAATGGGATCTCTTGAATCTTCCTCTCTGGATTACAGAGCATGCGTCAGCATTTTAGAGGCCTACTTCAGACGCAGGGCTATTTCATGGCCTGGAGGCCATTATGCAGCACAGATACTCCGTATTTCTGCAGACTAGTAACCATTCTTCCCGAGCCAAGGCACTTAGAGTTGATTTGGGGTTTTTGGCCCATAAATTTAAATTCTAAGTAATCTAGGAGTTTTATCCTTTCTTATTTTTATTTGGGTGATTGTAAGCACAATTTATCTTGTTTTATTTACTTAAGGCAAAAGTGTGTACCCCAGTGGCTACCCCACAGCCTACTCCTCCTCACTCACCTTCATCTCCTCCTAAAGAGCACGTGTTGGTCAAAACTCCAGGTTCTTCTCCCTGTGATTCAGAACCCGACGAAGCGTTTCCCGTGCGAGAACTACTGCCTGAGAAAGGTACAGCCCTTACCGCCACGACGCAGCTTTACCTTCGGAACAAGCTGCCAAATCAGAATGACTTTTCATTTTAATTAGTAGGAAGTAAAACGTCATGATTTGTTCTTGAAGATGTTTTATAGATTAATATAGGAGGGGAACTCAAAAAGCATTGGTACTACCGTTTCAGTTCGCATGTGCACAAGTTTATTCCAAATCCAGCCTGTTGACAGATGTCCCTGAGGCCCGTGGATGCCCACAGAAAAGCTCTCTCAGTCAGACAGTGGTCTTAGTCTCATTCGTGGGTCTTGAGCAAAAAAAGTCCAGTCCCAACAGTGGGTTCCGAGTACGTCTTCTGGGCCGGTTAGATTCAAGGCAAAGGGGTCGGCTCAGAAGGCACTGTTCTCTTGGGTCCTAAGGGTCATCTGGGTCGATTTTCTCAAAGGACACACGGTGACCACAGGGGTTTATTGGGAGGAAGTTTTCAAAAAATTAAAAACTGCATAGGTGAGAAAAGTGCCCAGCAAGTTGTGCCAAGGAACTTTTTTTCTGTCATGACCATGTACCACCTCATTCTCTGAGGGCAACAAGGACTGTCGTATAAGCACCCTCTCTGCCCTGCAGCCCTGGCCTTGCCTCTTCAGACTCCTTTTTTGTTCCCCAAACTCAAGAACATGAAAAGGAACACAATTTGAGTCCATCAAGGATATCCGAATTACTGTTTTAGTCTGGTATGAATTGGAGAGTACAGCATTCTTTGGGGAAGGGCTAGAGATGGGGACATCTAGGAAGCCTTCAGAAGTGAGTACATCCAGAAAGGGGTCTGTGTCCTGGTTGGAGGACAGACACATTGAGAAACAATAGTATCGAATTTTGATAAAGATACATTTACTATAAAGGTTTCTATGATTTCAGTACTTTTAAACCTACACTCATACCTATTGTTCACAGGATAGTATTTTTTTCCTTGCAAGAAAGTAAGGAATTAATTGCCACTTTTGAAATATTTAGTAGACACACTAATTTAAATAAATGTTGATATTAAAAGTGTCAAGTCTTTAAGGTTATTTGCTTATACTTTACTAAATTAGAAAATGTCCAGCTAACTGGTCATTATAGTTAATATTGCCAGTATTTGTATGCCAAAATATTAAGGAATTTCCGAAACCACTTAATTTGCCTTCCTGTGGGTTTTTGTTTTCTTTCTGTTGGTGCTGTGTGAAGCAGTTTATCTGCTAACCCAAAGTCCGCAGTTGGGGCCCGCCAGGCGCCCCACGGGAGAACGATGTGGAAGTCTGCTTCCGTAAAGATCACAGGCTCGGTACCCTTATGGGGAACTTTTAGTTTGTCGTAAATGGTGGTTATGAGTCAGGATCAACTTGAAGGCAAGGGTTTCGTTTTTTGGATGAAATTATTATTATTATATTGAACAGTTTTATTGGCATAGGATGCACATATCATGCAGTTCAATAGTTCAGTCACACCAAGAAGAGTTGGACAGTCATCACCACAATCTATTTTAGAATGTTTTCTTCATTCTCATCTTCATTGTTATTAGTTCCCCATTTCCCCCACACTGAACTTTGCCTTTTGAATCTTTAGGAAATGATATGCCCGTCACGACAATTGTTAATACGCCAGCAGTTACTCCCACTACTACGCCACCGCCCGCTGCAGCTTTAAGCCCCAGTCTGTCAGAGATTTCCATTGATAAACTGAAGGTGTCAAGCCCACAGCTCCCAAAGCCGTGGGCTGATGGCGACCTGCCTCTGGAGGAAGAGAACCCTAACTCCTGTAATGAAGAACCCATTCACCCGAGAGCTATGTAAGCAGTAACATGTGTACTCCGTGCCGCTGCACATTCCACCTTAAACTTGACTTAAGTATTAAGGGTGATAAATGACGCTTTCAAGGCCACAAGCTACTCGAGCAGAAAGAAGGTTCATAAATTTTGCCTTTGAGCATTTTTATCAAATATTAGAAGTAAATAAATTTGCTTCTTTCTTAAAAGGTTTGAAGCAGAGTGAGATAAAGCTGTTTATCATATTGCTAATAAAATAATTTCTCCGTAGTGTGGCTCTTCACTTAATTACAATCCATTAACATATGTCCCCCTGTCGATTTACTTTATAAATAGAAGAGCATCCAAGATGGTCTGTGATCTAAGCACAAAAACGATTTTAGAAAAATATAATTCTGTATATACTCGAGTATAAGCCGACCCAAATATCAGCCAAGGCATCTAATTTTACCACAAATACTGCATTAAAAATGTGCTCAAAAACTCGGCTTATATACGAGTATATATGGGACTTTGAATCTCTTTTATAGCAGCATGAATATAGGCTTTTAGTGATTAAATTAGGTCCAAAGTCTGCCTTTATCTCCTTAGTGTAATGTCTGTGGCAAAGGAGGAAGAACCTGAGAGCGAGAGCGAGCATTGCCCTGCTCCACCTGCACGGCTGGAGCAGATTCTCTTGACACCCCCTGCGGATGGCGCCAAGGCCCCTCTTTCAGTGCAGATGCCAAGTTCAGAGTCATCAACATTGGAGAGCACCTTGAGTGCCAGCGTCACGGAAACGGAGACTTTAGATAGACCCATCTCTGAAGGAGAGGTGGTACTTCACTATGGGGGCAAACTGGCTCCTAAGCGTAAGTTAACCTTGTATTCATTGAGTTCACTGGTTAGATTACGATCATTTTCTAAGTCATGCATTTATGTTTTAGAGTGTTTTGACTTAATTTAAAAGGAGACAATGTGGCGGCGGTCTGAGTCTACCCAGAAGTACCTGGGAAGGAAGGCCTGGCGATCTCTTTCCAAAATGAGCCACTGAAAATCCTGTGCAATCCTCAGACGTACTGTCACTCTTACTAATTTGGCTATACCTTTCCAGTGTCTGAATTTTATTTTGTCTCTGTACAAAGGAGCTTCAACAAATTTGTAGAAAAGTACATTATTTTGTGACTCCAGTTTTCCATGAATCTTTTGTATCTGCCTTTAAAAATAGCATCATTCTATAAATATTGTCTTAAAACTGAATTTTCATGTAGCAGTACAGACATTTTCTGTGTCAATATGAATAGGTCTACCTCATTTTTAATGGCCTGTGATTTCTTCAAGCATTGCCATGGGATGGACATTGGTATTGTTTTCAGTGTTTAATTTTATACACAGTTCTCTGGAAGAGCCACCCATAAGGAGTGGCGTCTGACTTCCCCTGACTTAACCAGGGAAAAAGAGAATCCGATTCATCAGCGCACGGCTGTTTCCTATGCGGTGAAAGTCAGCTAGGCCTCCCCTCCAGCCGGCTGTCGGTGTCTTTCTAACAGTGCTCTACTTCCCAGCTGGGTTTGAGAATTCATGCACGGGCCACATAGAACTCAGACAATACTCGTGATGCTGGTTTTTTTTAGGGAGGGCAACAGGTTACAATTCAGGACCAGAAATGCTCAGAATGTAGTTCTTGGGTCAGGGACAGACTCTTCTCAGCCGTGACTCTGGGTGTACTTCTCTCCGGTCCTCAACCATGGGCCCCTTGGCCTCTTCTCTGCTTGAGCTAGGTGACACAGCTCTTTAAGTGCTCCTGAAAAATGCCCATAGGGTGCCCACCACACTTTGCTATAAGCCTATGTTTGATGGTGCTCAGCTCTAGCTGAGGGTCAGCAAACCTAGCTCCCCAGTTAAGTGCCTGGAGCAGTGGTTCTCTACCTTCCTCATGCTGCGACCCTTTCATACAGTTCCTCATGTTGTGGTGACCCTCCTCCCCACCATAAAATTGCTACTTCATAACTCTCATTTTGGTACTGTTATGAATCGAGTGACCCCCGTGAAAGGGTCATTTGACCCCAAAGGGGTCGTGACCCACAGGTTGAGAACCGCTGGCCTAGAGGCACCCTGTTTACAAACAAGCGTCCTTTTGAAGGCACCCAGCTTAACTCACTCTGTGGACTGAGAAGGCCACCACCACTCGTCTTGTGCTCCTAGTTCTGCTGCTGGCCCTGCTCTGCTAGTCTCTGGGGACACAGCGCTCTCTCCCTGGATCAAGGTGGTTCAGTGGGCAGGGATCTCCAGGTCCAAAGGGCATGCCCCTGTTCCTGCTTCAATGATGGCCCATTTTATACCTACTGGGCTAGCAAGACTGACTCATTGCTTCATTAGGGTGCCACACATCTTACTTGCATGCTCCCAGCTCATCAGCTTGGAGGGAGTTCCAAAGACTTTGACTAAATCAAGGCATACCAAGTAACTTAGTTACACCATCTGACTGGTGCACACATATCTTTGATCACTTATAACTTCCTTAGAATAAGCACCTGTAAGTGGAATTACTGAATTAGAGCATTGACCCTTAAAATACTGATACTTTGCCACTGTGATCTTTAAAAAGGTTAATCAGTTTTAAATTACATCAACAATTTCAGACAGCGGGGCCATATCTCAATTGAATGGTAAAAATTATGACTTTTTTTAACTGTATAAAACATAAAAAGTTAACCATTGTTATAAATTGCCTTTTTGAATTTTAAAACTGATAAAGTTGAATGGTTTGTGATTTATTTATTTGTGAACTCGGTCAATATCTTATAAAAGTAAATGTAATGTTCTGTGGCTTTATAACTAGATGATCTGCTAGGTTTCTCCAGTTGCAGTTCTTTTTTCATAAAATTTTACCTTTTAATTTCTAGTTTTAGGAGCTGGGCCATATCCAACAATCCTAAATGATAGCTTTTCCAGCACTCTGCAGGATGCCCTTGAAATGGTAAGAAAAAATTGGTTCAAAAACAGAATTCTAAGCTGTTGCCGTGGATTAAGTTATTGTCACAGTGATTTGAGTTATAGATACAAAGTTAATAGTGCTTGTGGTGGAATTCAAGTCGCTTGCACTTAAAAAAAGAAGTAAAATTCATACAACATAAAATTAGTGATTTTACAGTGAACAATAACCTTAGCACACTCACAGCATTGTTGCAACCACCACCATCTCTGTATTTCTACAACCTTTTTATCACCCTCAAAAGAAACCTCACAGTCCTGGTGACGCTGCGGTTCAGGTGTTGAACTGATCTGCACAAGGTCAGCAGATCAGTAGTTTGAATCTACTATCTGTGCAGTGGGAGAAAGGAGACTTTCTGCTCCTGTGAAGATTTACAGCCTTGGGCACCCACGGGCAGTTCCACTCTGTCCTATAGGCGTCCTAGGAGTCAAAATTGACTTGATGGCTGTGGGTTTAGTCTGGCATTTGGTGAAAGGAAACCCCATGCCCCTAAGTAATGACCCCCATTCTCTCCTCGCCATAGTCTTGCCCATTTCATGATGCAACTTTCTTTTACTTGTGAGGGAAAAAGGTGACAAAAGGGTTCTTAACTTCTTTGAAAAATACAGTTGATTAGGCAATGAAGTGTATGCAACTTGGTGCAAATTGTCACCTGGATATGTCTCATGTTAAGTATTTTGAGCAGGGCCTTAATCCTTTCAGTCAACCCTCTTATAATACATTTGGTATTTTTCCTAACCATAGTTATAACCATGGTTGTAATCTCTTGTGTTAAAATAGGAACCAAACTTATTAATCCTTCCTAGTTATTATCCAGCTCCATGAGAGAAACAATTGGCAGTTAAAAATAGATGGGTATTTATGTTTATATATGCATATGTGTATATGTCCACATAAATATCTTCAAGGATGTATGATACACATGTATCACACAGGAAGACATCAGAATGTTGGTGGGAAAATGGAATTGAAGGATAATGGAATTTTTCCATGAACTTTTTGTATATAATAAATGTCTTATCAAAATGATAGCGTTTTCTTTGGAAAACCCTTACAGAATATAAGCCTTCTGCCCCTTTTATGTTTTTTCAAACAACCGAAGCAAGGAAAGGTAATCCCACTAGCTGCAGTCATGCACAGTGGGAAACTGTGCACTGGGAAATAGATGACACTGTCAGATATATTTATGAATTGCTCTAATCAATCACATGGTAGAGGATTTTGATAGTAAATCTCCAGTGTAAATTTAACTAAATTACTTATATTGTTATTTATATTTGAGGCAAACTTAGAGAGTGTGTGTGTCTATAGATATGTAAAATGGAAGTGAAGACCAAGTGGGAAAAAGAAAGAATACATTTGATTCCTGAAAAAATGTAATGTGATGGAAATGTTTGCTGCATGAATGCTGTTTGCATCGCTTCTAGGACGATGACCCGCTCAGTGAAGGCCAAGTGATGAAGGTGCCCCATCAAAACCCTCAGCAAGATGCACTTCTTCCGCGTCTTGCTAAACAAAATCGGGAACCACTGGGGTCCCAGCAAGCAATCTATCATTCAGAGGTAATTTTTAAACCCCGGTATTTTTTTTTACACCGAAATGTAAGAAAACAACAACAAATACTGTAAGTTTTAGTGAAAAGCATGTTAACGCTACTTGTTCAGTAGCCAGCTTTGTAACAAGTTTAACAGCCCAAAATTACAGAGTTATAGAATTTTATAGCTTAAAGGAATTTAGACCATATGTTCAAACCGTCTACTTGAAAAAACCTGACACCCTGTTAAATAATTTACGAGGAGTCCTCACTCGTACTTTCTTTCTGACACCATTTACTGAATTGTACACGCCAGACACAGCCTTGGGAAGACAAAGATGAATGAGGCATGACCTCCAGCAGGGGAGGGGAATTACAATGAGACTTTACATAGAGGATATTATATTGATCTGCGTCTTTAAAAACTAAGTAGATTTTGCCCGTGAGGAAAGAAGAGTAAGAAAAGTAAGGAAGAAGAAATAGAATATGTTAAATAATATAAGGCAAGGGAGATGAAGGCATATTTAAAAACTGTTGAAAATAGTTTGAAGAAGTCAATTAAGTCAGATGCTCAGAAAAATCTTTTTAGGACATGGTGAGATTTGGGCATTGTGGAATCCACTAAGGCTTTTGCACAAGGGGTTCACATGCTAAGGTATTCAGGGAGAAGTCTGGGCCCATGAGGCAGGGTGCATTTCTATTGGATTAGAGTGCCTCTCTGAACACCTGGGGAAATGGGGATCTGAAGACTGAGCAGGCCCCAGGGATCTGTGAGAACAGCACTGCAGTCATCCAGGCAAGAGAGAACAGGAACATGAACAGAGACGCCTGCAACAGGAATGGATTTAAATTCAAGGGTAGAGAATTGTTCATGGATTGAAGGATGCTGAAGACGTTTTTACAAATTAACTTTTAACAGCTTGCCCGACGTACGTTCCACATGTCATACATTTCAGTAGTTCAATAACATTCATAAGAATTTTTAACCATCACCACAATCAATTCTAGAACATTTCTTCTTCCTTCTACTTGTTAGCTCCCAGTTTCCCACCAGCCACCCCTGCCATGTCTTTTTGAAACTATTAATCTGCTTGCTTTCTCTGTAAGTTTAGTTATTCTGGGTTTCATATACAGGAAAACATACAAAAATCAAAACAAAACACAAAAGGCCCAACAACGATGACAGAACAAAACAGAAGAACCTCAGCTGAAAACAAAGCAGAAAATATTAAAAACTAGAAAAGTATACATTGGACTGAGAAGGGATCAACTGACAGTTTTGACTGACCTTGCCACAAGAGCAGTGTTCCACCTACAATGCCCTCGGTCTGATACGAAGACCTTTCCCATCTGACCCGCAGCCGAGGGAACTCTCCAGAGGCTCACTCTGCATGGGGGCTCTGCCAGCAGGCTTTCCCTATCTCCGAGCCTTGGAAGAAGAGGTTTTTGGGGATAATTCTGACGCTCATCATTTGAGAGCCTGGCTGGGTGGTGATGGAATTGTTGACGTGTAAATGCAGGGGCTGGTGAATACCAAGTGTCCTGGGGAAGGTGAATTCAGTTTCCTGGGAGACAGATAAACCCCTCAGGACCAATAATGAGAGTATCCATACTAAGAGGGTAAGGGGAAGGTCAGAGTAGAAAGGGGAAACCCATCACAATGATCAACATATTACCTCCTCCCAGGGGGACAGACAACAGAACAGTGGGTGAAGAGAGACATTGGTCAGTGTTAAGACATGAAAAAATAATAATTCATAAATTATCAAGGGTTTATGAGGGAGGGGAGGGCATGGGAGGGGGGGAAATGAGCTGATACCAAGGGCTCAAGTAGAAAGAAATGTTTTGAAAATGATGACAACATGTATACAAAGGTGCTTGACATAATGGATCGTGATAAGAGCTGTACGAGTCCCCAGTAAAATGATTTTTTTAAAAAGGAAGCCCTGGGAGAGAGGTGAGGCCTTCTGTTCACGTAGAGATGTGCAGCTTCAGAAACCCATTGGGCACGTCTTCCTTGTCCTATCGGGTCTCTGTGAGTTGAAACTGATTCCATAGCAATGAAAGTCCAGGTGGAAATGTACAGGGAGTCACACAGGAGGGTTAATGGTGAAGCTGGGAGCAGAAGTCTTGCTTTCTGTGTCGAGCGCTAAAAACCCCTGGTGGCATAGTGGTTGCATGTTGGGCTGCTAACTGCAAAGTCAGCAGTTCAAAACTTAACAGCCATTCTGAGGGAGAAAGATGAGGCTTTCTAAACCTATAAAGAGTTTCAGTCTCAGAAACCCACAGGGAGAGTTCTACCCTATCCTGTAGGGTCTGTATGAGTTTGGAATCACCTCGATGGCAGTGAGAACAGGGAGTCTGGAACTCTGTCTATTGTATTAGAATGCCTGTCTTGGAGCACACATACATTTTATAGACCTATTTTGTAGTGCCAAGGTGATCCTGGGGTGTATTCTCTTCCAGGTGTGAAGGGTGACTAAGTCACAGTCTTGGGGGTTCTAATAATTTCTCTGAGACTAAACTGTCTGATGCTTTGTGGGAATTTGCACTTTCTTCGTTCCACATTTTCCTCCCATTCTGGCCCAGCGGGACCTTCTGTAGTCCCGATCAGAGCAGTCATTAGTAATAGCGGAGCATCATCTAGTTCTAGATAATCTCATCTCTGGGAGGTTTGAATCTCATCTCAGGCTGTGGTTTGAATGGGCCATTTGTCTTTTGAGCTAATTGTTTCCTGGAGTCTTTTGTTTTTTTCACTTCTTTCTTCCAGATGAGGAGTCAGTTGTTGCGACCTAAGTGGCAGCTCCCCAACCTTAAGACCCAGTCCCGCCCACCACCATTGGGTACAGAGAGAACTTTGTCTTTTCTGACCAGATTATGCCAGTTTCCTTAGCTGTCCCCCAAGTCTGGGGTCTTAAGTCCCCAAGCCCAGGGACACGTTCCCACCGGAAGTTAGGTTATGGCTAAGAGGCGTCCATTACTTTGCCCCTGTGTGCTCTACTATGTACAGGGACATATTGACAGCACACACAAAACATATGTAAAAAGACCTTTTGGAAGCAGTATTTTTTTTTCTTTCTGAGTGTTTAAAGTTTATTGAGGGTGTCCAGGGCTACAGAGGAGTTTCAGGTACTGGGGAACAAGACCTGCCTGGAGGGGCAACAGCAAAGCAGAGTGGCCAGCCAACAGAGGGTGGGGTCTGCAGAGAGGATGGAGAAGTAAGGGCTCCGCATCCCTAACCCCCTCCAGGCCCAAGGGATGTCCAGCTTGGGAAGGGGCCGCTGGGCTGGGTTTACTTGCAAGTGTGGCTCTCAGCTCCTCCACGCCCAAAACCGTTGGGCCCGAACATGGCTGCATAGCAGGGGTGGTTGCAGTGAGGCTTGCCCTCATGCTCAGCGTGACTCCCGGAGGTCAGCGTCTTCCCACATTTCTCTCACTTGAGGCAGGGCACCGCGGTGCCAGTCCTTCCCCAGGGACGTCACCCGCTCAGCGAAGTACACCTCCTTGTTGCACTTGGGGCACTTGGGCATGGCGGCGCTGGTCGAGGATGCAGGCAGCTGGAAGCGGTGCAGACTGACGGCGGACGGCACAGATGCTGGAAGCAGTAATTTAACATATTTTCCTGATCGCCCTCTGTCCCTACTTTCTAGGGAAGCCCGAATGTTCATTCATTTATGTGGTCGGACATTTTCGTCTTCTCGTGCTGGGCAGTGTCTTCCTTTCACCTTCCGTTCACCCCCTCTGGACCTTGTGTATCCAGCTGTTGACATTTCTCACTCAGTTTTGTTTGATCTGTTACAGTTCTTTTACATTTCTACCTATCCTTCCGTCCTGTCTTCCACTCTTGGGAACATTGTTCAAACTCCTCTGCCTGGGTGGCTGGCAGCAGCACCTCCCTGGTTTTTCTTCATCTCTTCTTCGGCATCAGATCGCTCTCATTGTCGCAGCACTGTGTCAGTCCGTCTCGCTGAGGGCCTTCCTCTGCATGTCCACTTGACCAAGCGTGGTGTCTTCTGCAGGGACTGGTCTCCTAACAACATGCCCAGAGTCTGGAAGACACAAGCTCACCATCCTGGCCTTAGTTCCTCCAAGACAGATCTCTTTTGGCAGTCCACGGTCCTGTCAATAGTTCTTTGCCAGCACCTCAATTTAAATGCATCAATTCTTCGGTCTTCCTTATTCATTGACCAACTTCCGCCTACATATTAGGAAATGGAAAATACCGTGGCTTAGGTCTGGTGCAGCTTTGTCCTCAAAGTAACATCTTTGTTTTTCAGTACTCTAAAGAGGCCTGGCGCAGCACGTTTACCCAGTGCAACCTGTCTTTTGATATATTGCCTGCTGCTTCCATGAGCATTGATTGTGGATCCAGCCAAGACAAAATCCTGGACAACTTCAACCTTTTCTCCAATATCACAACTACCTAGCGGTCCAGTTCTGAGGATTTTGGTTTTCTTTGCCTTTGAGTCAGAATCCTTGCTGAAGGCCGCAATTCCTGATCTTCATCAGCAAGTATTTCTAGTCCTCACTTTGAGCAAGCAAAGTTGTGTCTTCTGTATAGCGCAGGTGGTTAATAAGCCTTCCTCCAATCTTGATGCCAAATTCTACTTATAATCCAGCTTCTCTGATGATTTGCACCTTTGAATGGACTCAAACCACCAGCCTCTCCTTTATCAACTAAGTCGGTCAACCTTTTGCTCTAGATACTCATTGCCATTGAGTGACTCCAACTCATAGGAGCCCTATGGGACGAGGCAGAACTGCCCCTGTGGGTTTCCGAGACTGTAGCTCTACTTCCGGGAGTCGAAGCCTCCTTTTTGCCGAGGAGCAGCTGGTGGTTTCAGATCACTGACCTTGCAGTTAGCAGCCGTGCACATACCCACTGTGCCACCATTGGACCAACTAGGGCATACCGTACTTGGAAATGAAAGAAAGAAGGGTGTTTTTTAAATTCCTGTTTATTTCATATAGATGATAAGGAAATACACCACATTTTTGTCCTTTTATGCTAGGCAAAGAAAAAAATTTTAGTTAAATATGGTTAAAGTAGTGTTTAAAATCTGTATACTTATACAAATTATTCATATAGAAATAATCTGGTCACTTAAAGTGCATTGCTTTATCCCCTGTTTATGAAGTTCACACTAAAATTAGTGTTGTAAATTCTTAATAAAACCTGAAATATTAACAAAACAGTTTATTTTGCTTCCTAGAAATTTAGCACAAATTTTAACACTCAAAGCCTTAGAAAACCTTAAACTTGTCCTTGAAGTCCTTGGGGGGGGGGCTTCAAAAAGTTCAAAGGGAAAATTATATGATCTTTTCATTCCATTTCCCACAAGCTTCTTGAAGCCCCTTCGTAACATATAAAAAGCACTTCGTCAAATGTCCTTCTAGCAGGCAAGCAGTGCAGACCATGGCATTCCCCCAGAGCTGCTTCGGGTTGGTTGGGTGACAATGGTTTTGCTGACTCTCCTCTTCTCGTAGGAAAGCAGTGTGGGTGAGCTCAGTGCAGGACAGAGGCCGAGGCTGCCGGCAGCCGCTGAAAACATCCTCCTGGGACCTGCTGCCTATGGGCAGCAGCCTGGCCCTCGTGCTGACCCTGTGTATAAAAAAGGTGATGCCAAGCCACTAGCTCAGCAATTTGACAAGGCTTCAGGTGAGCAGCAGGCTAGTTTTCTTGATGTACCATCTGTTACTCTTGGAATTCCGCGGTACTTTCTTTGAACTGTTTCCACTCTGAATGCTGTATTTGACTTTGTATGGGACTTTATGGTAGTGTTCCTGACCCGAATTGAGACCGGTAGTACTGTTTTCAGGTATCATCAGAAGTTCTTTGTTTTCCAAGGATCTTTGTCACTGAGAACATTGCTATGTTTCCCCAAATATAATTCAGGGGTTGGTCCATGAACTACCAGATGGTGCTTGCGCTGGTTTAGGTAATAAATATATGAACATTTACAAAGTGTTAATAGTGATGTTTATTTTAATACATTGGAGAAGGTAAGAGGAGCCTTGGTGGCATAGTGGTTACATATTGGGCCGCGATCAGCAAAGTCCGCAGTTCAAAGCCACCAGCCGCTCCACAGGGGCTAGACGGGGCTTTCTCTCCGTAAACAGTTACAGTCTCAGGAACTCACAGGGGCAGGTCCCCCCTGTCGGCACTGACTCGATGGCATCAAGTTGTCCTTAGAAAAGGAGCGCCAGCGGCTGCTCGTTCAGCTGTTAAATAACGCTGTTAAAGAACGTTAAAGAACGTGGTAGGAAGCTGGGCCTCGCCGGACCTGAATGTCAAACCCAGGGCGGTTTTAGAACTTCACGCAAAGTATCTGAAGCACTTTGGAAATAAGGATAGGAGAGAGTACTGGTGCCTGGTTTTCTCTGAAGTGAAAAGAACCTGCGGGGGAATGCAGAGTTTCCAGAAACCAGAAGAGGAAATGCCTGCGGTCGAAAAGCCTGGCTAGCGACTGTTCAGAGCAGTGACAGTGAGCTGCTATCATTCAGAATGGGGAGAAATTCAGAACTAAAAGCCCTACGAGAAGCAACGTCAGGCTGGAATTATTTCCCATTTTGTACATATCGAGAGAGGATTTAAACGTGTTTTACACTTTTTTTTCACATCAGGAGATTTCAAAGGTGTCCTAAGAGGTGACATATCCTTTAGTGCAGATTGCAATTAAACAAGACTGCCACTAGATGCCGCTCGCCGATCACTTGCAAGATCCAACACCATCACTGCATCGAGCTTATCTGTTGTACAAGCCCTCTTTAAAGTGATACAGACCACAGCTGTCACTGTGAGGACGAAGGTGCACCTGACCCAAGCAAGGGTATTGTCCTTCTCCTCATAGATGTGCAGAAGCTGGGCAGTAAATAAAAAAACCCGAGGAGAATCAATGCCTTTGGATTACGGTGTTGGTGAAGGCTATTAAAATACACAACCGCTCAAAGAATGAACCCAAATACTCCTTAGAAGCAAGGATAGCCAGACTGCGCTCACATCCTTTGTACTTGGTGTCAGGAGGGACCAACCCCTGGGAAGGGCCTCATGCTTGGGGAAGGAGACGGTCAGAGAAGAAGAGGATGACCCTCTGGGAGGTGTACTGACCCATGGCTGCAGCAGTGGGCTCAAACAGGAAAGACTGTAAGGAGGGCCCAGGAGCAGGCAGCGTTCGCGCTTTTGTACTCGGGGTGGGTATGTGCAAAAGCAGAGTCAATGGCACGTAACATCAGTGGTTAACATCACCTAACATTGAGAAGAACCAACCTGTTGCCGTTGAGTTCACGTTGACTCTTTGGGATCTTATAGGACAGAGTAGAACTGCTCCAGGGCTCCCTCGGTTTTCCTCGTTCTTAAAGCAGAATGCTCTATTTTCTGCGGAGCAGCTGGGAAATTCCAACTACCAGCCTTTCTGTTAACAGCTGAGCACTTATAATCTCTTCACTATCAGGTCTCTCCTTCTGAGAACAGGTTATGAGTACTTGTTCAGTTATTACAGAATCAAGTCCAGGAGGATATAGCATATCTAACTCTTCCTTATATCTCTGTTAGTACTTAGTAGATTACCTACACTTCAGTGCATTACAAAAGAGTAGATACACCATAGGTATTTGTTTAATTGTAAAAATCATAAATTATATGCCATAACATAAAGTTGAGTGTAAATATAAGGCAGTATTGCAGAGTGGCTAAGTGTTTGGGTCAAAATGGGTTTGAATTTCTGCTCTGTCGCGTACTAGCTCTCAGGTTGGATTGAATGACAAAACGAGGCAGAATCTGTTTGGGAGCATTATCTGGGGAACCCTAAAATGTCAACCGGTATTTTTAATGAGTCTCAAGAATCCTGGCATATACTTCCAGGCACAAATCTGCTTTTACTCAGGACACCTGTGCTACCTTCCTGCCACTAAGCTGCAGAGATGAAGATCAGCTATTGTCAAGGGACTTAGCAAAGCAGGCGGGAGAAGTATAGGAGAGACAACAAGTATGCTGTTGTGTGGCTAGTGCAACAACACAGATGACTGCACAAGTGCAGAGGCGGAATCGGCCCACGCATGAGGGCTAAAAGAAGTTTCCCACAAGAAGTGATGTGACGTCGAGTCTGACGGGAACTAGTCCAGCGATGAAGGAGATAAGAATAGTTCAGTTTGCTAATTTGCTGCTTCATTCGCCGAGAAGACATTTTTATTGCGTTGGCTATGCTGTAAGCAGGTGCCGGCTGTTGTGGTGATTCACAGTGACCTCATGTGCCAGACTAGGACTGCCCCCTAGAGTTTCCTAGACTGTAATCTTTATGGGGACAGACTGTCAGGTCTTAGTCCCTTGAGCTGCTGGGTAGGTCAAATAACAACCTTTTGGCTAGTCACCCAGCACTTAATCACTGTGCCACTAGGGCTCCGTGCTGTAGATCCTAGAAATATGAGTGTAAACCCAGGTAAAAACCCACTTGATGGTGACAGTTTCTCTAGTAGGGAAGAAGATGAGAAAGTATGTGTACATTTATATACTGTTATGAAAAAGTCCACACAGAAAGAGGTACAATTCAGTTGTACCAAGGAAGAAAATCCTGAAGACTTTGTTGGTGAAGGTGGCTAACTTGAGGTGAGGGTCCCAAGGTGAACCCTGTTTGCCGTGTGGTGAGTGAGGGTGGGGGTGGGGTCTTCTGTGTGGAATATGCGCTGAAACAAGGAGGAACCGTCCAGAAATGCACGGTCAGATCAGGAAACAGGATCTGGGCAGTGATGAGAACCCAGGACCGCAGGATGCTGTGAGGTTGGAGCAGTGAACAGAAACCCAATCATGAGAAACCCCGGGTGCTTGATCAAGACACTTTTGGAATTCTTCTAAAGCAGTAAGGATTCCTTTGTGCATAAAATGCCAATCCTAAGTTTCTGTTCATTTTGAATGCTTTGTGATATTCATGGATCCATGTAGTATTATCAGTAAGGACTGAGTGATCTGATCCTATTAACTTTTTGTTAGCAACATCCTTTGGGGGACAATGGTGAAGAATGAGATACTGGTTTTCTAGGAATGCTGTAATGAAGTATTACAAGTGGGTGGGCTACTTTGAACAACAGCAATTTATTGACTTCACAGTTTGGAAGCCAGTGGTCCAAATTCAGAGTGTCAGTAGGGCCACATCCTTTCCCAATGCTTCAGGAGAAAATCCTTTCTTGTGTCTTAAACCTCTGGGAGCCCAACTCCCATCTTGGCTTCCATCTTCACAAGTCTGCCTGTCCTCTATGACGCTCTCATTGTGTACCTTCTTTTTATAGCCCTTTACCAAAGGGATGCTAATTCTCTAATTTGACAGTGAAAAAAGCATTGTTGTGATTGCTACCAGATCCTTATATAAGGATCCCACAGGACAATATGATCAGCTGGTAATACCTTCAGAGACCCTAATTCCACATAACCACATTCACAGGTATAGATTCTAGGACTCTCAACATATTTTGATGGGTGAGGTGGGGGACGGTGACTCCATTCACCATCAGATGGATTGGGGGATTAAGACTGGAAGCACGGAGGCTGGTAGGCAGCGATTGGGCACATCTGGTGAGGATCATGCAGCAGTGAGGAGCTCGCACAGGCGAGGAGGGATGGACACATCGGAGGGTGGGTGTGAGAGGTGTGAAGAAGGACGCTGGCCGATGATGCCCAGCTGCACGGCGGCCTCCCTGAGAGCGGAGGAGGAGGACAGAGGAGGAAACGGAGCGAGCCGAGTGGGTTGTATCCCTGGTGACCTTTCCACACCTGTGTATGTGTTTCCGACATGGTGAACTCTGGCGCTGGCAGTTTCAGGAGTCCTCCGTCTTGTTTGAAAGTCTGCCGCTGCCGCTTTTTCATTACAGCGTGACTCCAGAAAAGTAAAACCAGAGATTTCAATTTAGAATTAATCAAAGGAAATTTGATTGCAAGGAATACCATACACTTTAGCACCCCTTTTATTTTTATTTTTAAATCATTTTATTGGGGGTTCATACAACTCATCACAATCCATACATACATCAGTTGTATAAAGCACATTTGTACATTTGTTACCCTCATTATTCTTTTTAAAATTATTTTATTGAGGGCTCGTACATTTCTTATCACAGTCCATACATCCATCCATTGAGTCAGGCACCTATGTACACCTGTTGCCCTCATCAATCTCGAAACATTTTCCCTCTACTTTAGCCCTCAATATGGTTTGCTTGTTTTCCCCCTCCCTTTCCCCTCCCCCTCCCTCCTGAACCCTTCATAATTCATAAATTATTATAGTTTTGTCATAAGTTACCCTGTCGCACCCCTTTTATAAAGGCGAACCCCGTAAGCCAAAGACATGACAGCCACACTCCAGGAGCATACACTTCCGCGGGAACTTGCCAATGCGGTATCGTTGTGAGTGCTGTCCTGGGATCCTCGTCACTGGCCAGACCCCGTCCTCCCTGCTCTTGGGGCGCTTTTCTGATGTCACCTGCACAATGTCGTCGTTATCACTCTGATCGGTCATCTCACTTGAGGGTCAGGGCTTTATCTTCTTCGCTGTCATGTCCCTGTCATCTAACGGAGTTTGTGGGCTTATGTGCATAGGCAATGAATATCTGTTGAATGATAGGGTGTTATATGATTTGGAAGTTATTTATGTACCCTCAGTGCTTTCTGAGGGATATGTAATTATATGCTTTGTGGGTTTCTATATCTCATTTTCTTTTTTAAAAATATATTATGTCTGGGTGGGGGAGGAAGGAGGAAAAATGAAGAGCTGATAACCAAGGGCTCAAGTAGAAAATGTCTTGAGAACGATGATGGCAACAAATGTACAAATGTGCTTGACACAATGTATGTATGTATATGTGTGGATTTTAAAAATACATATCATGTCCTTTTAATTCTCTTTATGTTCTCTAATAATGCACTTATAGTTTTATGTAAGAATAGAAGAGTGAGTATATCATTTTATTTTTAAAAATTATTTTATTGGGGGCTCTTACAGCGCCTTTAACATTTACATACATCAATTGTATCAAGCATATTTGTACATAAACATTTGCTTTCTATTTGCGTCCTCGGTTTCAGCTCTTTTTTCCCTCCCTCCTTTGCCTCCCACCCCCGTAACCCCTTAATAAATGATAAATTATTATTATTTCATTGTGATCAGTTCCTCCTTCCTCTCCTCCTCCCCCCTGCCCTCCTGGCATCACTACTCCCATTTCTGTTCCTGAGGGGTTTATCTGACCTGGATTCTATGTGTCGTGAGCTCTTATCTGTACCATTGTACATGCTCCAGCCTAGCCAGAACTCAAAGGCAGGACTGGGATCATGATAGTGGGGGGAGGGGGGGAGGAAGCCTCAAGGAACCAGAGGAATGTTGTGTGTTTCATTGGTGTTATACTGCACCCTGGTTGACACATCCCTTCCTTGTGACCCTTCTGTGAAGGGATGTCCAATTGTCTACAGATGGGTTTGGGGTCTCTGCTTTTTTGTTTTGTTTTGGGTTTTCTGGTGCCTATTACCTGATGCTGTCGACACTTCATGATCACACAGGCTGTGTGTTTCTTCCATGTGGGCTTGTTGCTTCTCTGCTAGATAGCCGCTTGTTTACCTTCAATCCGTTAGGACCCCAGGTGCTATCAGCCTTCTTCTCCACATTTGCTTATGTACCCATTTTATCTGCAGTGATCCTGTCTGGTGGGTGAGCATTGCAGAATGCCAGGTTGTTAGAACAAGGTGTCCTTGCATTTAGGGAGGGCTTGAGCAGAGGCCCAAGTCTGACCACTTCCTCAATGTACTTCCAATAAATATATGTACATAGGCCAATACCTCTATTTTTATTAATTAATATATTTACATAGGTGCACACCTATGTTTATTATACCTCTATCCATAGCTTTGCTTCCTAGATCTTTCCTGTTTCCTTTTGCCTTCCTCCTGCCCCGCCATCACGCTCGCCCTTCTTCTGCCTCTTAGTCATTCCTCTCAGCTAGATGCTGTTGCTCCAACAGCACAGGGCTCTCTACATCCTCCTTGTTGTTGCTTTTAATTCCCTAGTTGTTCCTCTGTCTGTGGCGTTGCTTGCTCACCAATCCTTTCCCCCGCCTCCTCCTCCTCCCCCCCAAGTCCCTCCAGAACCTGCAGTCCCACTGCTTGCTTCCCATGCTTATCTTATATTGGTAGGCAAAACAACAATAATGGAGACAAAACAAAAAGAAAACAAAAGATGGAATAAAAAGGGAGAGTAGAAAAACTAGCAAAACCCCCCCACCTGCCCCAAAAGAAAAAAGCATACATAATTACAGGTCTGTCCCCTGGCCTTTATGATTATCTCCCCACTGGTGCTGGGAGGTCCTGTCCCTCCTAGCCTGAGGTCTATTTTGGGAAATCCTCAGGGGTTTTGTGGCTTGGCTTTGCTCCCATTGCTGATCTGTTGTTTCCTTCTTGCTTCACCCACTGGGTGGGGTTGGGGGCTTGGACTGGATTCACTCCCCGCTGTGTGTCCCCAGTATTGCCCTCTGTCGGGGTATGCTCCAGTAAGGGAACATCATATTTGACTCCCTGATGGGAGCACATGCCCTTTGTATATCATTCTGTTCAGTGGCATTCATTTTCACTGGCCTTGTCTGCTCCTCCATCCCCTTCCCACACACATTTCCTCTGGTCTGTATTATGCCTCACTCAGATAGCCTATGTTAGGTTTTGGTAGACGACCTTATTTTTTTCCTGTACTCCTATAATCACATACACATACAATTTTTACCCAGTAAACTCCGTGTCAATTACTTTAGGTCAATTGGGATTGCTTAAATTCACACTTTTTAATGATTGCATAAAACCACGAGATATATTTCTAATCATTTATTCAGTTATCTCACCAATGAGTAATATTTACTTTATTACCGTTTTCTCCCACTATAAACAATGCCAGTGTAAATACCCTACTGTATTATCAAGGGCAAGTGTATTTTTGGTTTTAAAGTAGGCATGACTACTTGCTTTCTTGAAAGCTTAAACCAGTGAACGCCTTGTCAACATTTAGAACCCCAGCCCTATGTGTTCTCCAGCAACAGTGGCTATTGCCCTTTGAATTTGGCTAGTGACTTCCTAAGGGCACATATCTTATTGACATATAAAGCTGTCTGACTTATATATTGTGAGTTTGTCTTCATTTGTGAACCATTTGGAATTGCTCTTCTGTGAATTATCTATTCTGTATTCGCTGTCAGGCTTTTAATTTTTCTTGAAACTGAATGATACCTTTTTTCCCCCTTGTGAGTGAGTGTGAGCGTGAGCGAGCGTGTGTGTGTGTGTGTGTGATCGTGAGTGTGAATGTGTGTGATCGTGAGTGTGTGAGTGAGTGTATGAGTATGTGTGTGTGAGTGAGCGTGTATGTGAGTGAGCATGTGTGTGCGAGTGAGCGAGTAAGCATGTGAGTATGAATGAGCATGTGAGTGTGTGTGTGTGAGTGACTGTGAGAGTGAATGTGTGAGTGTGAGTGAGTGTGTGTGAGCATGTAAATATGTGAGTGAGCATGTATGTGAGTGTGTAACTGAGCGTGTGAGTGAATGTGTGAGAGTGAATGTGTATGTGAGTGTGTGAGTGAGTGTGTGTGTGTGTGTGAGTGTGAATGTGTGAGTGAGTAGATGAGTGTGTGTGAGCGTGTGGGCATGTGAGTATGTGAGTGAGCATGTGAGTGTGTGAGTGCGTGTGTGAGTGAGTGAGTCCGAAGAATGATTCCTGTATTGGATTTCTAGAAGTCATCTTTATGACCACGTGTATTACCTTTTAATTGATGCTAAATTTGATTGCGATGTGCCTGGACAAGGAAAAAGGAAGTCGATCGTCTGAGAGGCATGTCTGCTGAACAGAACCGAGCAATACCAACCTTTTCTAGCCGTTTCCTTTAAGGTTCCGTCTAGCTGGAAGTACAGGTGCGCCCCTGCATGTCAGACGTTTGCTCCACCGCTTCCGTTTCACGGGAGATCGCCTTTACAGCTAACCCAGCAGGTCGCCACCTTCCTCACATTTATCCCTTTCCTGCAGGTCCTCATGCAGTGGTGACCCCCCAACCGTAACATTATTTTCATTGCTACTTCATCACTGTCATTTTGTTACTGTTATGAATTGGGCGACCCCAGGTTGAGAACCACGAAAGAAATGCAGAAAGCAATTTTGCTTCTATGAAAAGAGGCAAAAGTGAAACTAGCGTTGCAGCAAGCTTTGCGCTGAGCTGTTAAAGTGGCAGCACCTGGCGGGGGGCGGGCTCTCGACGCTCTGTCGGCGAGCTGCGCTCAGCATTCAGCTCAGGCTGCTGCAGCTTTGAGCTGTGCCTGTGAACACTCTGGGTTAGTGGTGTTTTAGGATTTTTGTATTGTTTGAGGGGCCTGAGAACACTCAGAAATGGGTCCCCATATGCATTAATAGTAATTGCCTCTTCGCTTTACACCGCGACTGCTCACGAACAGTATCGTAGGGCAGCCTGCTTTCAGATAGCGGGAGAAACCCGTATCCTGTTGGCTCTTATCGAATCAAAAGGTGAGAAGACGTGTTAGGAGTTGCTTTGTGGGAGTGCAGGGCTGAGGTGGCCTGGGCTGCAGGAGCGAGTTGATAAGAAGCTTATTTTGTATCATGCATAGATTCCTTTGGACACAGGTACCTTCTGCATTCTGTATGTGCTTTAGTTTTAATTGCAAGGCAGGGTCAGTCTCAGGTGTTTCGGTTTAAGTATGCTGCTACCTTGACCGCAGCAGGTAAGAAATAGCGGTAGTTTTGGTCAACTGCTTGTCCTTTTTCTAATGTTAATTAAATAATTTATTTTAACTTTTATTTACATATTTGATAATAGGAGGTGTCTATGAAGATTCATGTGCTAGTCACGGCCCAATGAGTTTGGGAGAATTGGAGTTGCAGCCAAGTTCGAACCGTGGCCCCTCGACAGCACATCTGACGGGACAAGGAAGTATTCATTTGCCAGCGGCAGCTGGAGATTTCTCTCAGGTACCAAATTAATAGGCCCTTGTACCCACGTTTCGGAAAGTCACCCTTGTAACAATATCACTGTAGCGTAGTGCACTATCAGAAAGAACCAGTCAGCATTAAACCGTTTCACAAGGTAGCATATGAACAAGAACCGAAGGTACTGAAGGAAGAAGTCCATGGTGCCCTGACAACATGAACCCGAAACAAGGCTCCGGGAACTGATGGAATGACCATCGCCGTGTTGCAGCACGCTGATGAGCACTGACGCACTGTCTGTGCCGTTTGACTGGAGGAGATCTCTATTTGTACCCATGTCCAATGGAAGGTGGCGACCCAACTGAATGTGCAAAATATAAACAATATCTGCACGCAAGGGACAGTTTGCTGGAATCTTCCAACAGTGGTTGCAGCAGTACGTTGACAGGGAACTGCCTGAGGTTCAGGCCCGATTCAGAAGAGAACGTGGAACAGAGGATGTCATAGCTGATGTCAGATGGATCTTGGCTCAAAGCAGGGAACACCAGAACAATGTCTACTTGTGTTTTATTCATTGTACTAAGACATAGACTGTGGATCATAACAGACCTTAGATGGCTTTGAGAAGAATGGCAGTTGTACAACACTTAATTACACTCTTGCAGACCCTATTTGTGAATCAAGAGGCTGTTGCGAGAACAGAACAAGGGAATATCACATGGTTTAAGATCGGGTAAGTTGTGCCGTCAGGCTTGTCTCCTCACTATACTTATTCAATCTGTATGGTGAGCAAATAACCAGAGATGCTGGATTATATGAGGAAAAATGCAGCATAAAGATTAGAAGAAGGCATACTAACAGTCTTAACTATGCAGATAACACAATTTTGCTTGCTAAAAGTGAAGAGAACTTAAAGCACTTACTGAGGATGATCAAAGACAATAAACAGCCATTCTGGATTAGAACTCAATGTACGGAAGACCCAAATCCTTACAACTGGAGCAATAGGTAACATCATGATACCTGGGGAAAGGTTCACATTGACAAGAATTTCATCTTGCTGAGATCCATAATCAGAGCTTATGGAAGCAGCAGTCGAGAGATCAAAAGACCTGTTGCATTGAATAAATCTGCAGAACAAGACCTGTTTAAAGTGTTGAAAAGCAAGGCTGTTACTTTCAGGAGGGGCATCTGACCCAAGCCACGGTATTTTAATGCATGTGAAAGTTGGACATTGAATAAGGAAGACCAAAGAAAAATTGAGAGTACCATGGACTGCCAAAAGAACCCACAGCTCTGTCTTGGAAAGAAGTACTGTAAAGCCAGAATGTTCCTTACAGGCAAGGATGGTGAAACTTTGTCTCATGTATTTAGGACATGTTATCAGGAGAGACCAGCTCCTGGAGCAGGGCATCCGGTGTGAGAAAGCGGAAAGACAGTGAAAAAGAGGAAGGCCCTGGATGAGCTAAATTGACGCCATGGCTGGAACAATGGCCCCAAGCATGTGAACAATTTCAAGGATGCTCCGGTCTGGTGCTGTTTCATTCTGTTGGGCATAGGGTCGTCACGAATTGGAACTGACTTGACAACACTTAACCACAGTGGTTATAATATACACTTATCATTTGTTTACTTATTGGTACCAGAAGTGTGCCACTAAGTAACTCACTGATAAGATAATTGGAAGACAGGATAATATTCAAATTCTTTGTACCAAACACCAGAATACTTTAATCAACAGCATATGTATTTTTTTTAAGTAACTAAAAGATGACTTCTTGTCTTAAATTTTTAATTCCAGCAAAAGCAAGAACAGCATGTTGTTGAAAATGAACCAGTACAAGGTCGTTTAATACATGTAAGAGCTAAATCTGACACTTCACTTTCACAGCAACAAGGTAAGACTTGTGTTCATAAAACAGTTGTCTTGATAATGAATAAATATGCAATGAGATTTCTTAATTTTAGATGTTTTACCCTTGTCTGTAGGTTTTTTTGTTTCTCCCATTTAAACTATTTGAAAGAAGCAACTGATAACATTTGACTGGATATTTGTTAGCTCTTCTTTCCAACAAACGCTATTTTTGGTGGTTTTTATTTTAAACTCAGCAAATGTTTTTCCTTAGCTGTATGCTAGTTGTCTCCTTTAAGTTTGGTTGTATTAAAGGCAGGGCTCTGACTGTGGTGTGCCTTGTGAAGGCAATGTGCTGTGTGCCGATGCCACCAACAAGTACAGCTCAGAAGACAAGTGATTCTCATACTGCGTACCGTTCCACGAAGGGCCGTCATCTGATTGTCAGCATTTCAGGGTTTTACCTGTATATCCCCACCACCTTTCAATACACGAAGGGGTAGTCATCTGATTGTCAGCATTTCAGGGTTTTATCTGCATCTCCCCACCACCGTTCAAATATTTTGATCATGTCTGTTGCTCCAGGGCTGTTGGCTTTGTGCTTTAATTTTTTAATAGTAATTAAAAATGTATACAGTTGTATAACCTGAATTCTGAAACCAAGGTCTTTTCTTTTCAAAAGCTCCCTGACCACAATCCCAAGGAGAATCTCAGGAATAGTTTGAGTAGTAGAAAATGTTTTTCTCGGCTTTGATGGCTGGATTTATCTTTCACATTTCAAAGAATGTTTTAGTGGGAAGAATCCGAACTGAATGCCTTGTAACTGTGCATTTGGAGTTTGGGGGACAACCTCAGTGAAGACTTCTCAAGACAGTAAGATATTGCCCCATGAGGTTTAACATTATACTTCCCTTTGTTCTCAGTGCCTCATTTGCTCTTTTTGTAACTTTGCTCTCCCTCTTATTTGACACTTAACAATTGTACCTCAAACCAATCGCCATCAAGTTGATTCTGGTTCATAGCATCTGATAGAATTGCCCCCAAATGGTTTCCAAGGCTGTCAGTTTTATAGATCCAGATCATCACACTTCTCACCTTGGCAGGAGGCTGGTGAGTTCAAACCGCTGACCTTGAAGCTAGCAGCTGAAATGTAACCACTGTGCCACTAGGGCTCATTAGCCATTGTATAATAGTGTTACTATTGTATTTTAGAATCTTTGGAAAATTATCTATAAAACTATCCTGATGTTGACCTCAGAACTAATCATGACAAGTGTGTAAGAGCAAATAAATGCTCCTAAGATAATAATCAAGATTTACGTCCTGCATTGAGCCTCCACTCAAGTACTCC